ATAAAATTTAGGTTTACGTATAATATTATTTTATTGAAAAATATGTGGTTGCAAAGAAGGAAAATGTATTTTAGAAAAAATGGAAATCAAACAATGGCTAAACATGAAGTAATGATAAACTTAAAACGAAGAGGGGCAGAAACTCAAAAGTAACTTCAACTCCAAAAGATAAAAGAAAAATTCTAGCATTGCTCCTGTGCATGTATAGTGGGATTTTTCCATTTTACATGTTGCATATCAGAAAGATAAGTAGTCATCTTCCATAGTTATTATTCAAAAACCTACTTTGGTGATTAAAGTAGGCTAAAAAAGCAGTAAACTAAAAATGGATAATTAAAAGCAAAGTTAAATAGTTATAAATATATATAAGTTTTGTAAATTAGTGTGTGAGTGTGCGTGTGTATATAGTTGAGAAACATTTGGTTTCTCTTTCGTCCCCATTGTTTTAGTTTTTGGTCAACAATGCCCTCATTCATTCTTCATGATTCACATTAATTCATGGATTAAAATTCTGATGGTTTACTTTTTTTATGTTTATTATTATAGTAATGATTAACTTTTAGACTCATTTCCTTTAAAAACATTAATTCAAATAAAAAAAAAATTAAAAGAATTGAAAGTTCACATTTTCGGGGAAAATGTGTTTTTTGAATAATAATTTTTTTATTTATTTTTTTAAGAATGTGTAGTTAAATATAGAAAAAAAGAAAAAGAAAAAAAAAAGAGAGAAGATTTACGTCTAAAAGTATTTTTGATGAGGTTCGTGTGGAGGAACAGACATTTGAGTACATGGAACGCTTGGATGGTCCGAGTTCGAAGAAATTGGCATAATTTTCGCATATGGTGTCCATGACATATGATGGATTTTAGCCGTTTGAATTTGTTTACTAGGTCAAAACAGCATTTAAAGTTTTTTAGTTTATTATTTTCAATATTTATTATTTTCGCTTTATAGCCCAGTCCATTAAGGGACCGCTCACCCAGTAGGTTATTTGTTTTTTTTTTTTTTTATTTAAGGCTATGAAAACACCTTCTAGGTTTTTGATTTTTTCATGAATTAAGAAAAACATTAGTTTCTTGAGTTCAATCCATTTGAGTTTTTATTGTCGTGTGTTTATAGATTCGATTTACATCAATTTTATGGAAAAATGTATGGATGAAATGAGTTTTGAGAAAATGGGGCTCAAACAAATACGTTATTATTCTTCTTAAAGTCAATTTTAACTTCATAC